ACATTACATTACATACATACATTACATACATACATACATACATACATACATACATACATACATACATACATACATACATACATACATTACATTACATTACATTACATTACATTACATTACATTACATTACATTACATTACATACATACATTACATTACATTACATTACATTACATTACATACATACATTACATACATACATACATACATACATACATACATACATACATACATACATACATACATACATACATACATACATACATACATACATACATACATACATACATACATACATACATACATACATACATACATACATACATACATACATACATACATACATACATACATACATACATACATACATACATACATACATACATACATACATTACATACATACATACATACATACATACATACATACATACATACATACATACATACATACATACATACATACATACATACATACATACATACATACATACATACATACATACATACATACATACATACATACATACATACATACATACATACATACATACATACATACATACATACATACATACATACATACATACATACATACATACATACATTACATTACATACATACATTACATTACATACATACATACATACATACATACATACATACATACATACATACATACATACATACATACATACATACATACATACATACATACATACATACATACATTACATACATACATACATACATACATACATACATACATACATACATACATACATTACATACATACATACATACATACATACATACATACATACATTACATACATACATACATACATACATACATACATACATACATACATACATACATACATACATTACATACATACATACATACATACATACATACATACATACATACATACATACATACATACATACATACATACATACATACATACATACATACATACATACATACATACATACATTACATACATACATACATACATACATACATACATACATACATACATACATACATACATACATACATACATACATACATACATACATACATACATACATACATACATACATACATACATACATACATACATACATACATACATACATACATACATACATACATACATACATACATACATACATACATACATACATACATACATACATACATACATACATACATACATACATACATACATACATACATACATACATACATACATACATACATACATACATACATACATACATACATACATACATACATACATACATACATACATACATACATACATACATACATACATACATACATACATACATACATTACATACATACATACATACATACATACATACATACATACGAGAGAGGGAGATTGGGGAGAGAGAGGCTTGGGGGGATGGGGAGGATGGAGAGCAGACGGAGGGAGAAAGGACGACAGAACACACAAGGGAGACAAGGGAGAGAGGACGAAGGAGAAAAGGGAGAGGACAATGTCGGCGGACTGAGCCGGAGGCTCTAAAGTATATATTGTCCACGCACCACATGCTGTTGGCAGCAGGAACAACACCGTTGGACCACAGCCCAACCCCCAGATCCGAGCACCCTGCCTCGTCCTTCACATCGTTGTCCTTCCTCTGCCCGACGGCCTAGGGCCATCTGCTCTTGCACCACAGGGCGTGTGGCGTTGTGCGCTGCTGCGCGCTGCTGCGTGCTGCTGTGCATGTGTTCGACTGGCCCTTCCGAAGGCACAACTACCAAAAGCAACAAACTCGAATCCTGAACCTCCCCCCTTAAAGCAGCTCCAAACAAGCCTCCCCTCCAACAGACATGGACATATGTGGGGCCAACTCAATGGATGGTACGAACAGACTGTCACCGACGCGCCTCATAGACTGTCATCACAGCCTCGGCGGGCTGAGTCAAGCCGGTGGCAAGGGGCCTTTCTGAATCGGATGTTCTTTGCGGGTCTCTGGTTTTGCCTGGTTTGCGTCTGTGCCTGCGTTGGCCTGTTGTGTTTTCAATGTGCACCGAGGATTGCTCAAATACTCGTTGATGAATAAGGGGGGGTGTCTTATTTAAGAGGGGATCCTTCGGTTTGTTTGGGAAACACCTCCCTGAGTAATCCATGAGGTTGATTCATCTAAGGTCAGCATCACTGGCCTCTGAGTAACACATCCTGCCAGATGGTTCTGCGGCATGCTGGAAAAGATTAGCATGGATGAAGCTTTTATCGTGAGATCGCTGTGATTCGACCAGATTGGTGGCAGGATGTGCGACACCAGAATATATCCTCCAATAGCGGCGCTCAGGCGGGAAGGACAGTAACAGTTCATATGGAAAACAGATGAAGCAGCTGTTGAACAAGGCGCCACACAAGCCACAAAGCGCAGTTCATGTCGTAGCTCGTATAAACAAACATTAACATTGTGCAGTGGCCTGCGACCATCCTCGCAAAACAGCACAGCAAATCTAGCCCCTGTGTGCAACATGAAGTGAGTGGCTACACTAGGTCAAATCAGGTGTCCCCTTGTAGGTCACGTGACCCTCCTGCTGAAAGGTTGCTCATCCATTCACCTCAAACAACCAATTGCAAGCACATCTTTCTGCATCTACTGGTGTCAGCCTGGCTGGAATTCTCCATGTTCTTTCCTTCGGGATTTCTTCATGACTTATTTTTCAAACAAACGACATGTCATCCCTAGCCACTAGCTATATAACTCCTGCAAGCTTGTCGTTGCGGGGCCTTCGGCAATAGGCTGGTGACAAGCGCTTCGTTGGGCGAGGGATCCCAGATGAAACCAACGTGGACCGTCCCTCAAAACTGAAGGACACCCTCTTACGTGGAACCTCTTGCCATTTAATAATCGAGGGGTGATTGATCCTGGATAGAGCAACACAACTCTGCAGCGGCCCCTTAGCAAAGAAGTTGCGATTGTGGTTTCGCGCACTGTGCCATTTGCAAGAGTTCGATGAAGTCTCAATACGGATGAAATCCAAGTCTAGCAGCAACATCATCTTCTGGCCCAGGGGCAATGAAAGGACAAGCCCTTTCTGCTCTCTGGGGATCAATGAGAAGTCACCAAAGAGGCACCGGGGAAACGATGGAGCTGGCAGTTCCGCTGGAAGGAGGCAATCTCCCAGCAAAGGGGCTTCCTTGAATAGTGGCTGAGGGGGGAGGTTAGACAAAATCAGGGGGTCCGCATTACTCTGCAGATCCCACAAACGCACCAGCCTGAAACGTGAAGCTCCTTTCAAGTTGGGACTTTTGCAGTTGTTAAAGGAAACCCAAGGAAACAAAGGAAACAAACCATTTGGGCCAGTGTCTCTTTTCTGGTGATACCTTCTTTTGGTGTTTAAAGGGCACCCCAAAGAAAAACGGACGCCCCAAAACTGTGTTTTGTTTTTGGTCGGTTTCCTTTAGAACCCATGACAAAACTGGGCTGTCCTCAGCTCCCCCGCCAAAAGTTTAACTTTTAGTGGGTTACATGGACATCCCCTTGTCCCCTAAAAAGGCTAAACACCCCCAACAAAAAGGAACCCGGATGGCTGGACCCGCCAGACAAGGTTCACCACCTCCGAGCAAAAAAAAAAAGACGAGCGAGCCACCGAGCAACCCACCGACCGGCCTGGCGCTTGTGGTCCGTGCCAACGCCCCACAGCCCGATCCAGTGGATCCGCGTGCGCTCCCCGCCGAAGCCTCGTGCGCTCCGCGCTCGCACCCGCCGCATCCGCGGAATTTGGATCCGCTTCTTCCACTTCTCACATGGGGGTTGATTGGATAGGGGGAAGTTTGGGGCGATACTCGAAAAATATTGACGTTTGGGTGGACATCATTTTCCTGTTGACCTTGGCACTGGAAAGCCGTTTCCCATTGAGACTCATGACTCATGTCCATATATGTCCATATAGCCTTGCGCGTGGCCATTTTATAGGCAAGTTTCAAGGATTGCTTCTGGGGGACTCACGTGTGAATGCGCAGCTGAATGATCAGCTGAGACCTAATTTGACAGGAAGCAGATCAATATTCAACCCAAGCACAAAAACTTACACGGCCATTCACCCACTCAATGACTCGATCCCCCATCTCAAATCACCGGGTCACCCTCCAGGTGGAACAGGAATGATCAGTCGAACAACTTCCGCCAAAGAACTTTGGACCTACTCTTGCCTGAAAAATGGCAATTAGCTACCCCTCACCTTCCTGAAAAAGGTAAAGCAGGAAGTAAAGAAGAACGCAGCCCCACAAAGCTAAATCAGTCATGGGCCAACATCTTTGTCACACTCAAAATGATCATGAGTCCTGCAGTCATGTTTACCTCCTGTCACTCTGCTAATCACCGGCTCACTCTGTATAGACGCCCCTCACAGAAGGCCGCCCACAATTGGCGTGGCAGAAGACAACGGTATGGAAGCTTGGAGTGCTGAGTCCGGAGTGGTCCCGGACATAATCAATCCAAGCATGGGTGAGATATATACTGTAAGTGGCTAAATAAGTACACATATTCTTCAACATGTTGTTTTTTCCTGAAAAGCACACACCCCATCCCTGCAACACTCTTTGATTGAATCCCGTCCTTGCGGCCCCAATAAGGACAATCGGACAAAAAGCAAGCATAGCATATCACAAGGCAGTAAATGATTCGGCAATTGATTAGATGCAAGGGACGGGTGAAACAAATCCAAAATGATAAGCACAAGGCCTCGACATGACCCTGAACTGCGATGCGAGGCAAGCGGATTACGTCCCATGGTGGCACACAAGTTAAGTCAGCGACGGTTTGGCTATGTTTTATGCCCTGGGATAGGACGTCTGAGAATTGCGGAACACGTTTCCTGCCATGTTGATGTGCTTTTGGGCAATTTAGTGCCAAGAGTCCCTGCCAAACGCGAAGATTCACTCACTGAATTCTGAGCCACCGGACTTTGCGGGAAGTAGAGGCACACGCTGGTCACTGACCTTGACAAGGCGTGCGACCTGTAAGAGCAACCCAGCCTTTGCCCCCAACCAAAAACACTGTTTAGGTCTGACTCTGGTCCATGATTTGGCAATGAGTAAGAAATTCACAGTCATTTCAAAAGATCACAAACATAATGACATTTGGGGACAAGCGACCATCACACACCTTGACTTGCCCACACTATCACAGCCCTACTGCGCCTAGTGTACTAGAAATGCGCAAGGTTGACATCCCATGAGGACCCAGATTCTGATGCTTCGAAGCTAAACTGACATCAAGCATGCCTTTGCATTGCGAATGCCGAACACCCAGACTGTGCTCTATTCGCTAGGCAATGGTCGGACATATCCGGTACGCAAACGATATCGGCATTTTGGGTCGCTGATTTTTTCGTGCTCTGCATCTGGTCCGAGGCTCACTCATTTTCGCGGCCCGGCGATGTGCTGCTCTCTGGCCTTCTCTTGGTCCCCGGGCAGAAACTTGGCGGCGCGGAGCGGGAACTGGATCTGGGCAGGTGGAATTTGCTTAGCGCGAAACCTCCAGATTGACTGGAACGGAACAAGACCCACTTAACCCACTTTAGGTTTACAGAAATCTGTTTGGGAACAGGACTTTTGAGCTCCATGAAACAAACACACTCGTCAGAGGCATCTCGTTTGGTAAAGGACTGGGGTATTGGGCTTCATGCTAATCTCCATGGGAGTAAACCTCCTTGAAACATGCCCGAGATTCTCCCGGGGTATCGTGAGCTCCCTGCTTTGCACCCATGAGATGATCTAAGCGAAACGTCTACTCAGTTGTTCAACTCTGAAAAAAAGGGAACCCTTTGTGGGGAAGACTATTTTTAGTGGGGCAGCCACCAAAAAACTAGACCACGGTTGGCCCGAAAGCAGAACATCGCAAGCGAGGTCGGCCCAACGCTGCAGGATGCGTTCTTTTTCCCTACACTTCGTGAAGCAAGCGCGAGACAGCACCAGGCAAGGTGCTCTGCGCAAACTGGTCGGTGCAAGTTGGTCTGCGCAAGTTGCTCTACGCAAGTTGCACTGTGCAAGTTGCTCTGCGCAAGTTGCTCCGCGCAAGTTGCTCCGGCAAGTTGGTCCCTGCAAGTTGCTCTGTGCAAATTGCGCTCCCTGCAAGTTGCTCTGTGCAAGCTGCTCTGTGCAAGTTGCTCTGTGCAAGTTGCTCTGCGTAAGTTGCTCTGCGCAAGTTGCTCTAGGCAAGGCGCTCTGCGCAAACTGGTCGGTGCAAGTTGGTCTGCGCAAGTTGCTCTGTGCAACAAGTTGCTCTGCGCAAGTTGCTCTGCGCAAGTTGCTGTAAAATGCAAGTTGCATCTTGCGACGCCCGCCCGCGGACCAGGGAGGAATCGAACCCGCGACCCGCCGGTTCCGGGAGCAGGCGCGCGAACCACGAGACAACTCCCGAGGACCAGTTCGAACAACAAAAGTCGCAAAAAACCTTGAGTTTTTGCACCTCGACCACGCCGATTCCCGCAGAGGGTTGCGCGAGCACCGCAGAAATCGCAAAAAACCAGCACCCGCAGATTCGCAAAAAACCATCGGGTTTTTGCACCTCGACCACGCCGATCCCCGCAGAGGGTCGCGCGAGCAGGTTAGAAATCGCAAAAAACCATGGGTTTTTGCACCTCGACCACGCCGATCCCCGCAGAGGGTCGCGCGAGCACCGCAGAAATCGCAAAAAACCGCAAAAAACCATGGGTTTTTGCACCTCGACCACGCCGATCCCCGCAGAGGGTCGCGCGAGCAGGTTAGAAATCGCAAAAAACCATGGGTTTTTGCACCTCGACCACGCCGATCCCCGCAGAGGGTCGCGCGAGCAGGTTAGAAATCGCAAAAAACCATGGGTTTTTGCACCTCGACCACGCCGATCCCCGCAGAGGGTCGATTTTCGTGTAGTGTCGTCGGCACTACCCCGCCGCCCTAAGAAGAGATTTTAACTCCTCGCAAGTCAATTGCACTTGACTCCTTGCACTTGCAACTTGCACTTGACTCCTTGCTTGTTTCAAGGAGTCATTGCAAGCAGTCATTGCAAGGAGTCATTGCAAGGAGTCATTGCAAGGAGTCATGGCAAGGAGTCATTGCAAGGAGTCATTGCAAGGAGTCATTGCAAGGAGTCATTGCAAGGAGTCATTGCAAGGAGTCATTGCAAGGAGTCATGAGAGCCATTGCAAGTTGCAAGGAGCCAAGTGATGGAGTCAAGTGCAAGTCGCAAGTGCACGGAGTTAAGTGCAAGTTGCAAGTGCAAGGAGCCAAGTGCAAGGAGCCAAGTGCAAGGAGCCAAGTGCATGGAGTCAAGTGCAAGTTGCAAGTGCATGGTCAAGTCAAGTTGCAAGTGCAAGGAGTCAAGTGCAAGTTGCAAGTGCAAGGAGTCAAGTGCAAGTTGCAATCCTTGCCATGACTCCTTGCAATGACTCCTTGCAATGACTCCTTGCAATGACTCCTTGCAATGACTCCTTGCAATGACTCCTTGCAATGACTCCTTGCATTGACTTTCATGATGATGATTCCTTGCAATGACACCTTGTAATGACTCTCATGAGAACAATTCAAGTGAACCCAGCGGAAGAACCCTTCGCCATGCTTTCGGGAAAAGGAAAAAGGGTGCCACTGAACAACTGAGTCTAGTGCATCCTGGTGGACCCCTGGTGGACCTCTGGCGAGCAACTGCGCGTGGAGACCCAGCAAGACCCGTGGGAAACTATCGACTCTGACGCAGACCTCACACGTTTCTTTGTGAACCCAAGATCGTCGGTTGAACACGTCCAAGCAACAAATGCAATGTTGCCAAGCCGCAACAAAAGAACGCTGTGAAGAAATGCAAACGCTGCGGAGCGTCGGCCAAGGACCACGCTCGCTCCAAGGTGTCTCAAGCTGGCGGAGCGCCGACTTGCTGCGGATAGCTGCGATGGCCGCTGCCCGTATCCCGAAAAGAAACCAAAGTCAGTCGACGCTAGGGCGGTTGCGTAGAGCTCGCTCCGCAAACAAATCTGGCACACTGTCAGACTAGCCCACCAAGAGCGTGATTGAAGCCCTAGAGACGTCTTTCTCTCCTGTAGTATGGGGTCTGGGCAATTTACAGTGACTCACCAATCTGAATGAAGGCACCTTGCCGGCTGGCCTTGACGACGGGGGCATGTCAAACACTCTCCTAGTAGGTAGGGTACTCTTGTGTTCTCCAATGCCAAGAGCTGCTTCCTTATATTGCACCGACCCGGGGATGACCCCTCCCCGTCACCATCAAGGGGCCCATTTTGAATCCAAGCAACCAACCGAACGAATAAATAAGCAAGCCAGCCAGCAAGCCAGCCTTCAAGCCAGCGCGCAAGCAAGAAAGTGAACAATCACGGAAATCAGCACACAAACCAAGCAAGCAAACAATCACAAGACACCACCCAAACCAAACCAAATCAGACCAAACCAACCTAACAAACCAAACCAACCCACCAAGCAACCAACCAGCCGAGCAAACAAACAACCCCCCCAGCGACCATCAGACTCGATCCCTTTCCTCAACAGGCCAAGATGCCGCTCCATGGAAGTCTTCCACCAGGTCCACATCCTAGGCCAAGCTACGGTCACAGGCGTTGGCCTTCTTGTTGTTCCCCAAAAGCTGAAAGCTTTGGGGTCTTAGCCCACATAGGCTCCGGGGTGGTCCGGGGCGGCCCTGGTTTGTTGGCTTTAAGGAGAGTTGCCAAAAAAGCAACCAGGGGGATGACTTCCTGTTTGGCTTGAAGCCAAAAAATTGAGCAACGGGGTTAAGGGGATTACTTCCTGTTTGGTAAAGGGGGGTACTTGCTTGATTGGAAGGGGAAACCAAAAGGAACACCAAAAGGACACTTTGGTGGGAGGTTCCAGTTTCCAGAATGGGAATCCGAATCATTGTCTGAATTCTCTGCGAGGCTCATGAGCATACCTAACCTGAAGTGAACGGGTACGTTAACCATGGCACATGTCTTGAAAAAGGCAAGTGCAAAATGGGCGGGTGCTCCATTGTCCAACACCCGTTTCACCCATGGACTTGTGGTGTTACCAACATGGTTATAAATTATAAAGTTGAAACCAAATAGCAACTTAACTAGTACAGCACGGATGTCAAACAAAGACAATGAGCTGCACCAGACTAGAAAGGCAACACATGGGCATACACACACACACCCATTGGGTGCGAAGCAATGGCACTAAAAATAAAACACGCGTCTGTGATCACGCAGCCTCAACTGACCCAGGCTTCAGGCTTTGGCAAAGACCCCCGCCTGCGTCGATTCCACGTCCCCAACTGTGGTGAAGTCAAGGTCATCCCGGTTGATGTACAGCCTGCAGATCAAGTGCCCCGAAGATCCTCAAGACTCAAGCCCTTCTCTTCCGAAGGAGGTCCCCGGCGTTCACACCACCGTTAAATAATTGGGAATCACATAACCGCCATTGTTTACCTAAGGATTGTCATCATCCCATTTGGTCAACGATTTGTTGATGGGGGTTGATGATGGATTTCGATGTTTTGGTAGCTGGGACGTCTCACATCGGACCCTAGAGCCAACTATTGAGAAGCGCGATAGTGGAAAGCTCAAAACACGAGAGCGAGCCGGCTCCTTGCCAACGTATACATGTACACATCATGGTTCGCTCATTAAAAAAAGTCAACGTGTGAATTTATGATCTGCGGTCTTCAGGCATTGGCAATTTGTGCGATCTCGTCGCATACGTAGGTTGTTGCAAGTCAGAACATGCACTAGCCCAGAGGGTTCAAGTACTTTGCACCCTTTGAGGATGGCTGCTGAGAGTTGAACAAGCGGTTCAATGTACCTCCTTAAAAGATGCAAGGGTCACCGGAGTGCCCCTTTGCTTGCAATGTAGATACACGTTTCCATTGAAACGATCGCCACTTTTGGATCCAAAAAGGACATGGAAACCCTGAAATACTCTGACCGTCCAAACGGAAACCTGCGACTCGGCTCGGCGCCCCTGCTTGACTTTGCTCGGCGCAGAGCCACCATCGCCCCCGATCACCGAGATGGACGTGATCTGGCCGGCAACGGAATATTGCAAGCGAAGGAGCCACGTCCAGAAGCCTCGTAGATTGCGGTAAGGTACGTGGATCCCCATTTAATCGCAAAGGCCATCCTCAAAGGATCCTTGGACCCAGAAAAACCACGATGTCAGCCACTGACTCAGCAAATTGACATGTCTGTTACTGTCCGTTTCCGCATTTCAATAGTTCATCGAGCATGATACGACCAAGCCATGTCAAACATCGGAGCAGATGTCTCGTTGTTGGCAGCAAGTTTTACCCCATTGCCAAAAGCGTCCCCATTTTTCCCATTGCCAAAACCGGTGTCCCCCAAGGAGGGTTCTCTGAAATGATCGGAACGTGCTTCCTGCGTTGAGTGTCACCTGCGGAAGAGTTGTGAGGCAAGTTCCGGCACCGAAGAGTTGGGCACCATCGACGAAACCCACCTGAACCAGCGCTTTGGCCTGCATGTGCCCTCTTTGTTCAGGACCAAGAAAAAAGGCCAAGGGTCGAACAAGTACAACCAAAAGTCAAAGCACAACACAAACAAACAAACAAACAAACAAACAAACAAACAAACAAACAAACAAACAAACAAACAAACAAACAAACAAACAACAGAAACAAACAAACAAGAAAAAACAAACAACACAAAAGAGAAACAAACGGGGTCCCCCCGGTCTGCGGGCTGTTTTTCACGGCTTTCCACGGCGTTGCCAAGGACTGCGGCCAGTCCTTAGCTTCCGATGCCCCAAGCTGAACGAGAAAGTGGGGAGAGCTTTGCTTGGATCAGAACGAATTCCGTAAACCACCTGCCTCTGGATGAATCTGAGCCGGTCAACATGGAGGGTTGGCCAATCCGATTGTTCATAACCCCTATAGGGAAGCCACTTGAAAAGGGAGCTCTTGCGGAAGCGAAGGATTAAGGATTCCCTTTCAACAGCCCAGTAAATCCCTATGAATGCTGGTTGACACACCAACTGGTACAGGATGTTGTCCATGCACAACTATCACTGCGGGCCAATTCCCTCGACCGAGTCTGAAGAAATTGGTGTAGCAGGTTGGTGCTGCCAGCATGATATCTCACTATGACCGCATGAACTCATCTTCCGCTCTGCCCGAGTGAACATATATTGCAACTTGCACGATAAACTTTGCCGTCACTGTCGATTTCCTTGCACAAGGCTTTTTCTGATACGCAAAGACTGTCATTCACTTGGCCCTTTGCCAAAGCAAGCGTTTTTCAAACACAAACACCCATAAAGTGTGGGTCAATCCGAGGTTGCGTCATGATTCTGGGAAACCAGGTGGAAAAATCCTGAGTGAAAATTCAGGTGGAATATAAAAGCCAAGTTCAAAATTAACTTTTTCATACTTCAGGTGGAAAAATCCAATTTTCTGATTTGCACTCCATGGCGTTGGCTTCTCAAATGAGCCAAACTCCTTGCTCATCCAATGACGTCCAGACTGGTGGAACCCCATGGTGCACACGCCTTGAATCAAGCCGATTGAACTCCAGATGATCTGACACCTTCGAGCCCCCGAATTCGACTTCCGCCCTTTGCTTGGCTCTGTGTCAACAAAAGAGGGACCCCCACACACAATTTTTGGCTTTCCTCTTTCTTGCCCTTTGAACATTGAACTAACCCCAAAAAGAGAAGCCTCAAAACCTACCCACGCGCACGCGCGTCTTTCCGCAACATCAACACCTCGCAGCCCAAGCTGCTGACCCTCTCCGTGCGGCGACCCCTTGCCTTTTCCTGAGTGGGATGCGGGGACTCTTCGGGAACTCTCCATTTTGGATGCATTCGAAAAGAATCCAAAGCTCGCCCGCTCCAAAAAGAAAAAATGGGGAAGGGAGGGACAACACCACTTGTGGCACACGTCGTGTCAAAAAATCCAGCGGCATATAAGACTCCAGTTCCTTACATTGTCTCAGCCTATGTTTTGCTAAGCAGGGTTGCTGCGGCTGAGGCCATCCCAAGAGAGCCCCCCCCCACCCCCAGCGCCTCACAGTCATGGGACTCATACTGCCCAATAGAGGGGTCACCATGCAGGAATGAGTCAAACCCAAACATTCTTGCAGACCGTTTTGAACCGAGATTCAATGGTAAACAAAGTTCATTCATTTGGCAGGGTCCCATGCCTCCATTTGCTCAAGTCCCCCGGACAGTAGTGATAGATTCCCCTTAAAGCCAACAGGGGATAATAAAACAAATTCATTTCAGCACATGGAAGAATACTATCCACAAGAAAACCCGCTTCTGCCAGGCAGCCCCGGCTCTTGCCGTAACCCTTCTCCTGCCGCGCGTGTTTTGACTTGATTTGGCCACGCCTAAAGGACCTGAGCCATCAAAACCGATCGGAACTTAAGATAATCGTAATCCCAAAGCCACATAGAGACTTTAAAAGGCGGCCCCACCCATTTCTGGCCGGGATTGTCCCTTAACCTTCATCTACCCGGGTTTTAAGGACGTGGACCCAACAATGGACCCAACAATGGACAACCGAACGGTCAAATATGGTCAAATCCAGACTTTTATCCTTGCTTGGCGACTTCTCATTCAAATTGCCAAAGGCCCCCCCCCCCCCCCGCCAACTTACCATAGACGACGTACATTTCAGGCCACCTGAACGGTGAATGCAAGGGGTGCCACTCTAGCGGGCTACATCCTGAGACGAGGCATCACCTTGTGAGACTCACGCCGAGTCCTGGACAGGAGACAGCATGGACTGCAAGGTCTAAGATTATACATACCGGCGCATACACAAATGCAGGTGCAACATTTATCCTCTGCATCCGCATGCTAGTTTTGCATCTATCTCTATGCATGTGTAGTCTTCCTGGACATCCCTATACCCACAGCCCCAGTTGCTGTTGTCTCCAAACAAGTCATTTTGGGGGCCATCAGGATAGAACCGGACTTGTGCGCATGTGCGAAACTGATGACACGTGCGGTGAACTCCGAGCGATTTGCTCCTGCGGAGCCTCTGCGGCCTCATGCGACGGTTTCAATCCCGCCCAAAGCTCCTGGTAATTACCATGTGAGACACTCACCAACGTCTGGTAACTACCGTGAGACACTCACCAACGCTTGTGGTTTCCCTTCGAAACCACCACTAAAGAAAGGGCCCGCCGATATTAGGAAACGAGTCTGGCTAGGGTCGCAGGAACTGAACATCAATTCTGCAGCCTGGCCAAGCAACCAATCTCCGAACGGCGAGAGTTGTGAGATGTTGTGAGTCAGATGAGGGCTTCAAAAGCTGCAACGACTCGATCGGAAGGGTAGAAGCTCAGAAGCTTGGCCTGGGAATCAAAGCGTTTGATTGTCTACCCCGGTTTGGCGAATCCAAGGCCCAAACCAAGGCCTAGCCAACAGGACTGAAGCTTGCTGCCGCGGTGCGCGCGGAGCGGAGCCTGTCAGCCACTTCGATGATCCTTTTGGGAACCTTGCCTTCCATGATGCTTGGAAAGGGGCATTGAGCAATGTACAAATCACTTGTTTCCCCAAAAGTACATGGGACAATTGGGTGGGGGGAATGTGGCCGGGCCCCCGTTTTCGCCTTAACTAAGCTTAGACTTCCAAGGATTTGTCAGTCGATCATATGCTCGAAACTCTGGTATCACCGACAGACCGTGGCCAGCATTACAATGGGGCCAAACATAATAGCATGGTAAGCCTCGCTTGGAAGCACATGAATAAGTCGGAGCCAGTAACCTTCACAATTCTCTCGGCGTGTTCACATAAACAGAGAACGCAGGCGACATTTAATGGCCTTTCTTGCCAACATGTTGGCAATATTTCCCTGTTCCAATATCTTTGCAACTTGTCTCCGACCACAACTTGGAGGGGCGTCTGACAGTGATATGTTTATGGGCTGGCTAATCCCAGCAAGCGATTCTTGACGGCTCCTCAGTGCTTGGTTCATGTCAGTCAAGACCTAACCGGCCTTGTCAACAAGGCTTGGCTTCAAATGGCTCCCAGGACAGGCCATTGATTGTATCATATCTAAGATGAAGTCCGATAGGGACGTTGACCTGCCGATCAACATGGAAGTCAAACAAGACCCTCATTGCGTGCTTCCTCTCGGGCGACCCTTTGGTTGAGCCTTTGCCCCCAACCCCTGCTAGCCTCCATGGGTTTCAGGTCATGTGAAGAAGCACTGCCATGGAGTACCACACTCCCTAAGGACAAACTCGCAACCCAAAAACACTTACACGTAGCTCAAATGTTTAGCGCGTCCTTTTGCTATATACCCTTCCCACCCGGGCTCAGCTACACCGTCCATACCGTCTGTCTTGGAGGGAATGCCATGATCTCAAGCCAGGTCTCCTTATGGGAGAAACTATGTTCCATGGTTTGGATTCAAGGGGTCCATGACTATTCCTAAGTCAAAGGTGCTTTGAAATAGGAATCTAAGGGGGCTTTCCATTTCAGCGCCTACCTCAGTGACCTTTAGCTCTACCAGCAAACGGATGAGGTAATCTAATTTAGGCCCCCTCCAACAAAGACGAGCCACCCATGTGATTTCCCCCGATTCCCAACACGGAAAGTCGCCTCCCCAGATGTGTGGCCGCAGCTCTGGCGTCGTGTCACCCCACACAAAGCGCTTCAAGGGCAGCGCCTAAGCCGAGCTTCGGCTTCGCCCAGCTGAATGTCTGGCTAAATCGCAGAAACCACTCATGGCCATGGGTCAAAACCCAAATCGTGCCTGTGCACATCCCAATCCAACCACAATAGGTTCGGTGCGCCTATCCCAAAATGGTACCATTGGTTTTGAACCATGGCCACGTAAGAAAACCAGCCAAACCAATCCCAACAGGTCGCCTTGGCGGGTTAATCATTGGGGTGTTTCCCCAACACCTGCCACTGTAGAAACTGAAGGGTTTTTGAGGCCAGAGCTTGAAGGCTCCAGTTGGCACACTGCCAGAGCTACAAACGTCTGAATTGATTTTGAGGCCTACGTTCACTGAAGGCTCTGCGTGAGACACAAATGAGACATAATCAAAACCTGGTACAAAAATGGTGAACCCAGAACCATGCAACCAAATGAAAAGGCGGCCGCAACCATTTATGGCTGGGATTGTCCCTTACTTCCCTCCAAATTCCCGGGGTTTGATTGTGACTCAAATGGCCGTAGGCACGTCCAGGTCGATCTCCACGTTCAAGGGCGGCACCAGGGGACGAGGGTAGTCCACGCCCAGGCGAAAGCCTCCAACATGATGCTCCTCGGCTTCATCTGGACGCATGTTGGGTTGTTCACAGGGGATCTGTTCTGGGGATGGACAGGCCAAAACAAAGAAGTTGAGCTTACACGATTTGGAGACAAGCCCAAATGCCGAACCAAGTGCTGAGAAGAGAAGTACCTGTGTGGGTCTCGGCCGGAGCTTCCCTGTAAGCTCGCTGCCCGGAAACACAAAAGAACAAAAGGCTCCAAGCCTGCCTATCAAAGCAGCACCTTGCTGTGGACAACATTAACTTTGCAGTTGGTATGAATGTTCTTTTTCCCCATTCATACATTGATACGTTTGCATCCGTCCAAGTGCAAGGTGGACTTTGTCCACTCTCCAACTGGTTTTCCCCCTCACTTTAATGTTGGGAGTGACAAACTAAAGGGGAGTTGATCTACAACACATTCCCCTAAAATATTCCCTCAGTTTAAAGGCAATAAGGACATCAGAAAAATGGGGCCACACAATTCCGGAATGTTTGCCAGGTGGATCTCTGAAACAGTTTTTTGGCTTGCAATGTCTGAAGTTGCTGCATCCAACCTGCTCCATACCCACTCTCAGTTGCAAACCCGCCAAACCCATACCCACCACCAGCCTTTGGACCAAAAAGCAAGAATAGCTCACCCCACTGAAGTCCGAAGCCAATTGTTTTACCACACTCTTTGGACAACTGCCATGCACCCAGCCTTTTTCAAGGGTGGGACAGGAAAAATATAATCTGGTCTGTTTACGGGTAGGGCCCAGAGAAAAACAAGTATTGTATCCAGGGCCACCCACCAATTCTAAACAGTACTGAGCCAGTACACAAGAATACTACACCAATACTTTCTCTATTGACCCCCCGCCCCTCCCCCATTTTCCCATTTTGTTTCGAGGGCGGTGGGGAGGGCTTTACCAATCACTCCCCCACATTATACTGGTCCAAAAGGCAAGGGGTTCACTTCCTCAGTGGACTGGCACAGTCTGAACTTTTGGCTTGCCACGGTCCAAACCCAAAATACAAAGCCAACCGGGCCCTAAAGGCTAAGCAAAAAATATGTTCAAGCCAACCCCAAATTTGAACCCTACCCCAACCCCAAATGACAATCCAACAAAATATCAAATATAACAAGCCCAAACGACAAATAAAACAGCCCCCAATTTGACCAGACCCCAAATGCCCCTACCCCTGGAAACCCCACCCCCAAATGACCCCTACCCCTGGAAACCCCCTTAAATGAACCAACCAAAAAAACAAAAATCTCAGTGGCCAACCCTGCGACATTTTCCGCCGAGGCCAAGGCTCCGACTCCCCCAGCTTCAGGGTCCAGGCGTGGCCCGGGAGCCAGAAGTACTCATAGTCCCAGTTGGTGCGGTTTGCCGCGCAGAACCACAGGGGGGAGTCCTGCCAATTCGAATCGAGGGCGGTGTTCGTATCGGATGTCCAAGCAAAACAAAAAGGAACCCAAACCTCCAAAATTCCCTTAAAAATGGGTTGGACCCCCAAAATTATGGGGTGATATCCCATTTTTATCGGTAGTTTGAGGGTCCAGGAACCCAGAAAGAACAGGTCAGACCGCGCGACCCCTGTATTTCCAACAGAACACATCCACCCATCCACCCAGAAAAAGCATTTCCGCTCCTCCCACTAGGAAGCTGACTTCAGAATGGCCACCAGGTGACTTTTTTTTTCTGGAAAGGTTTCGGGCAAAGAATGCGGAAGAGCAACCTAGAAGCATGCGAGACTCCAAACCTTCAAAATTGCAAAAGCCGATCAAGGGCTTTAGTCTTTGAAGGGTGGTTCCCTTCGTCGCCGACTAGATAGGCAAATGGGTATGTGTCAAAACGGGGGGACCACCAAATTGTTGGCTTTACTTGTTGGTTTCCCGTTAACCCACCCCCAGAAAGAGGACCTTTAAAAAACGCACCATGCGGATCTGGGTAAATGACTATAGCCAAGCCCCAGTAAAGGAGCTATACCCCAAAATGCGTGGTTTCCTTTTGGTTTCCTCCAAAAGAACCCCAAAAGCTATTTCAAGGCACGAACCCGAATCGATCCATACGGAGCTCTCCCTGCGTCCTTGTAGGGCTTGATCTTGATGCGCTTGTCCGGCCTGGCCTCCGTCCTCCATGGCTCTCGCGCCAGATCCTGGCAGCTCAGGGGCTTGGGTCGGTCGTCCCATTTCGGACGACTGGGCGCCCCTCAGGGTGGCTTCCTTGCAGTTTCCGTGAGCCTTGGCGCAGACATCCCCCTTGAATCAAACACCTTGCGCCCCCTTGCAGTGAAGGGGACATCAAAGGGTGCTCCCTTCAATATTCTGAGATTCCTTCCCCCCCCCACCATTAATGTCTCTCTCTCTCTCTCTCTCTCTCTCTCTCTCCCTCTCTCTCTCTCTCTCTCTCTCTCTCTCTCTCTCTCTCTCCAAGAACAACAAGATCAAACCATTCTATCTCCCTCTTTCTTGTTGCTGTCCGCCCCCTCCCCTTCTTTCTTATGTTCCCGGTCAAAGGAAAGTTCTCATGACCGCGGCCAGTCAGCTGTGTTGCGTCGGCAGGGGTCCAATAAAAACCAGCGTCGGCTGTGTAGATCAAACTGAAGAAAAACACGAAACCTATGGAGGACGTTTCCAGGAACACCGCAAGGATCAACTGTTGACCGGGTCTTATTAAGTTGAAAGCGGCAAATACAAGCAAACGTCCAAAACTGCAGGTACCTCCAGTACGGTACTTCATACTTCTTGGTGGTTCTCAGAAGAGGAATACCCCTAACCATCCCTTGTGGTTTCTGGGGGATCCCTAGGTTCATACCTTTCAATTTGATTCCCTGAAAACCATCGAGGAAGTTTAAACTACACTGTAGAGACAGCATTCGGCTTCCCTTTCAATGGACTGACCTAGCTGTGGACGTCTCGCGCAAAAAAAAACCAAAGGGTCCCGTCCCCAATAAAAATCAGCTTTCCTGCAATTGGTCCACCTCAGTGGTTTTTCTTTGGTGGTTTCTGATTGGTGGTCGGGCATGGACCCTCAACAAGAACCAGAGTTTGAATTTTCCCTAAACCACCCATCCCCAGAACCGTTGAACTCCCCACAATGGTGATGCTTGGTGGTTGGTGGTTGGGGCATGGCTTCCCATGTACCCTCAACAAGAACTGTTGAAATCCCCACACCACCCATCCCAACTACCTCAACTACTTCCGCGAAGAATGGCTCCAGACCCCGTCCTTGGGCAGCCCAGCAAGTTCCGGAAGCCAGCGCAAGGTGTGCTCCAGCTGCGCATCATGCACCACCGGCCAAGCCACCACCTACCAAACACCTCCCACCCAGTTGCTGGGGGGGGCCCTGGGTGCTGGTAATGTGTTGATTGAAAGGTTTGTTTAGCATAGGGGGACGCCCAGAATGGACAGCTGTTCTTTTGGTTTTCCTTTCACAACCCACCAACAAGTGGTAATTTACCCCCAGAAATGCTGTGACATAAAGATTCAATCTCCTTTGAACAAAAAGAAACATATGCAGGTGGTTGAGACATGCAAAGTTTGAAGGCAAACGCGGGCATGGACACGTGCGGGTTTCGGTGAGACACCGGGCATCGGTCTGACCCATTTTCGCGCCCGCTGGTGCTTCCTTTTGGAGGTTTTACTGGGAAACCACAGAACATCCACCTGTCTTTGGTGGTTCTGAGATCTAGACGCACAAACAATGACCGGCAAGCCATCTATCAAGCATTGGATCTGTGAACCGCTTGACCTGACCAACGCCAACATGCCCCCATCTGGCATACACTTTGAGATATTTGATTGGACATGGAGCCCCTTAACATGGCACAACACTTTTGTGAGGAAGGCCAATCACTTTTGAAAACGAACATAGCGTTGTCTCACTTGGCCTGAAGGGAGACCAGAACCAACCGGTAATCACCTTTGGAGACCTTGACTCCCCAGCAAACACTTGGAGAACCAGCCGATTCGCTGGGGGAAAGCGGGTCCCATGATTTTCAAGCAGCATCCTCCCCATTCTCTTCCGGGCTCTTGTCAGAAAGTGGACCAACGCGGGAAGGACGTTTGTGCTTCTGAACAGAAGCATGGATGAGGATAATCGGGAATCAACCCTTGGATCGTTTGGTGGACTTCAAAGTTATGCCCACCCAGTCCGTGGGTCTTCAGAACACTCAAGAAGGAACACGGTGGGTTGGTCGGTGACCTTCAAACAGTGATTTTCGGTTTGCCAGTTTCTACTTGGATGTTCGGCCAAGTTAGGAAGTGGCTAGCCACCTGGGTTATAATCCACTAATGACAGGTTATTTTAGAGGGGGTGCAAGTGGGTTAATTAGGTTGGCCGAACATCCAAGTAGGGAAACTGTCAGTGTCCAAGAGGTTCAAAGGGTGTTGCTGCCAAATCCTGGAGCTACCAAGGCTAATTGCCACCACCGCTCTGCGCGGCGCTCAAAAACCCTTAGATCTGATAGATATGGCCATTGCAGGGCTTCCCCTAGGTCCCAACCACCAGAGCCGAGTTTGAACATTCAAGTTCAGAGCAATTAGAGAAACTCAAAAGTGAAACCTTCTATTGGACAGTTAGCTGAGTGTTGGTGTCAAACTGACCCTCTTGCTCCAAAAGGACAAACCCTGGGTCTCCAACTAAGCGACCCCCCCCAAAGTGTTGTCTCAAAACTTTCGAAAATCCCCCGAGCGCTTCGCTCTTTTGGACTTCTCTTTGAAGCCCGAAAACGAGGACCCTCACAACACCCCTCCAGTTGGCTTGGTCCCTCTTTTCCGCTCCTCCACGGTGGTCACGTGCTCGTTCACCGGGTACTGGGCCCGAGTCTGCACCAAACACGGGCGTTGCAAGCAGCGGTAGGCCCAGTTCCCCCAGTTGGCGTCCGGCGTATGGTCCAGCAAGCAGGCCCTAAAAACGAGAAACGGGAAGCGCCGAAACCAAGGAAGAAAAAAGGCACCCCCCAACAAAAAATAAAGAAACAGGTTTTCCTTTGGGGCTTCGCTTTGAAACGAGGCGCAGCTAGTCTGGAAACACGCAAGACATATCCAGGCCCATATAGCACTCAATGGTTCAAACCCTGGATGGCAGCAAAGCCTTGTGGGAAACAGATAATCCGGGCGTCATCCTCAAGCTCGGGATGGGGATACGTAAAACTTGCTGGCGCTCAGGGAACGAGAAATGCAGTCTGATCCCGATTCAAAAACCATCCAACGGGTGGGTTCCTTTGTTTTGTTCGGGAATCTCCAAGTTTACCCCTATAAACCATCCAACTGGTTTCCCTTTTTCGGGGATCCCCAGGTTCACGTCATTTCTCATCCCCTGCCTCTGACCCAAAGAAAAACCATCCAACGGGTGGTTTCCCTTTTTCGCGAATCCCCAGGTTCCCTGCCGACTTCGCAGCAGCGGCAAACCAGGTCAGATCCCAAAGGCAGCATCACTCTCCCGGAGCCGAGTCGCTCGAAGTGCTCGGCGCCCATGCGCCAGTCCAGCTGCAGATCCCGGATCTGAGAGAGCCCGAGCCCCCCCCTTTTTCCCAAGCGACCCTACCGGAAAAAAAAGAGAGGGAAAAACAAAGGAACCTATTTTTTGTGGGGTGGGTGGGGGCGTTGACTGTATTTAGGGAGACCCTAGTACCGCAAAAACAAAAAAAACTTCAGTGGTTTTGTTCTTTCTTCGGGGGGGGGGTTGACTATTTTCTGTGGGGGCCCACACTGAGTTCCCCCCCTCCATATTTAATTCCCCTGATAGCTGAAAGCTACAATAGGGGTTCTAACTTCCCCTGAGGGTCCAAATCCGTAACTACAAGGTACTTAACGGAATCCGTAATATTCGCGTGTTTTGGCTCAACATGTCAGGAGCGCGGCTTCGGGGCGAAAAGCCGTGAATATGACATGTTGCACCGTGTTGCACCAAAATTCAGCCATGCCCTTAGCGAAAGAGTGTTTTACTCTGACAGCTTCACTTCATTTGCAACCGCGACATAGTTGCATCATAACCTTTGGTGATCAGCTTGTCTTGGGGGCATGGGGTTGCTCAAGAAGGACTCTTGCGCTCTCTAGCACATCAACCCACCCGGTCTAGGCTGCGGTTGTTGAAGAAAAATATCACGCGGTAAAGTCGTGTTCGATTGAAACAAGTTGCTTCCAAAGCCGTGCCGGCGCAGTTGTGGGAGTTAGATCGGATTAAATTGTGTCAAATCGCACTAAACCTCAGAATGTACATTAGTTTAATGTGTGAGTGCTGTGCCATGCGAAAAAAGTTTCCACACATCACGCGATAAAGTTGCGTTAAATCGCGTTAAATTGCGTTAAAAACCGTGAATGCCAGCTTCCGGGCGTTAAATCGCGTTAAATTGCGGCATCAGTTCTGGGAAACGTATTTAATGCGCGAGTGCTGTTTCGATGCCACCAGGGTGATTCTGATGCACTGAAGGATGTTGCGATGCCATATCGGTGCTGCACTTTTGACAAGAACAAGCACTTTCCCCACGATCGCTGTTCTTGCCGGACATGGTGAAGACATGTGTAACATTCGGCAACAGTCCCTCAGCTTGAAACAATGCAGACGGTAGTTTGTCGCTACTCAGGCATTAAGATCTTTGCGCATCTTTGAGCATCCCGAGGCTTTTGACCCGCAAAACCCCGCTTTAGAGGCGAATGTATGACATGTTACCTTAGGCAGTGCTTCTGTGTGCCATCCAGCGATGAACGTATCGCGCGGTCTGCGCTGGGTTTGTGTTCCCAAATGGCTTCAAAATGAGAATCCGCAATATTCACGTACTCGGGCCCAGGAGTGTTAGAAGCACGGCTTTTTCACGAAAGTACCTCAGTATAGAGTACTTGGACCCTTAGGGTTCTAATAAAGAAGGGAAACAAGTGATTTGTGAGATTGAGGGCCGGGTGCTAGGGGGCATGAAATTTGAGGTGCTGGTGGATGCTGTTTTGCGAGCTTGACTTGACGGCCGGGTGAGGGGGCATGCAGTTTGGAGTGCTGGTGGACGTGCTGTTTTGCAAGTGCTAGGGGCGTTCTTCGGGGTTTGGAGGTGCTGATGTGCAAGCACTGCATGGCACTGCTATCTGGGGTCTATGTTGGTGTAACTTTTTGGTAGTGACTCACGATGCGGCCTACCAAACAAAAAGGGAGTTCGACCACTGATGCAAGTGCTCCCCTCCTGAGTGGATTGGCCCAAAAGTCTAAACCATCGTCCGTACGCTTGCCTTGGTCAAGGGGTGGGTCAACTCTGGTCACTTCTTTCTTGCGGTTTCAAATACCCAAGGCTGAGCCATTTTGCCACCCCAAGCTCTTTGGGCCGTTGGGGGCCTTCGGGAAGGCGGGTTTCAATGCACCAAGAACTCCGGGTCTTCAAGCTGGCTGCTGTCCCCGCCACTGGCCTGGCCCCAGGTCACCAGGCTGCCATCATCCCTTAGGGCGGCGAAGGCGAACCACGTGGCCTGGATCTGCTGGACGCCACTCAGCCGCTCTCGCACCAGAGTGCTGTCCCCCCCACGTGCTGGATCACCCCAGGTCACCACTGCGCCGTCATCCAACACTGCGGCGAACGCTCGGGAGCTCGCTCCAATCTGCCGAACATGCTGAAGCTGCTCCTGCACCTGGCTGCTGTCGCCGCCATCATCCGGATCCCCCCAGGTTACCACGCTGCCATCGACCAAAATGGCGGCAAACGCTGTTTGAGTCGCGTGAATCTGTTGCACACGTGTTAGCTGCTCTTGCACTCGGCTGCTGTCTCCTCCGTAGTTCGGATCGCCCCACGTGATGACTGAGCCATTCTGCAGGATGGCGGCAAACGCGCCATCAGATGCTTGGATCTCACGCACCCGCGCGAGCTTCTCTTGAACATGGCTGCTGTCAGCCCCGTAGCCGGGATATCCCCATGTCACCACCTCGCCGCTGTCTCGGAGAGCAGCAAAGGCACCATCAGTTCCTTTGATCAGCTGGACCTGCGTCAGCTGATCTTGCACCAGACTGCTGTCTGCACCACACTCCTGGTGCCCCCAAGTCACTACTTTGCCAGTGTCCAAGATGGCGGCGAAAGCAAGGCCAGTTGATTGAATTTGCTGGACTCCTGTCAACTGCTCCTGCACCATGCTGCTGTCTCCGCCGTAGGTGAAATCGCCCCAGGTTACAACAGTGCCACCGTCCAGTATGGCAGCAAAGGCACGTGGTGTTGCCTGGATCTTCCGGACATTCGTCAGCTGTTCTTGCACACTGCTGCTGTCGCCACCGCATTTTGGATCGCCCCAGGTCACCACAGCGCCGTCGCCAAGAATGGCAGCAACTGCACGCTGATTTGTTTGGATGTGTTGGACCCGCCTCAGCTGATCTTTCACACTGCTGCTGTCAGCGCCGCATTTCGGATCACCCCAGGTCACCACAGTACCTGGGACATAGAGGCCAAAGGCGCCCCTGGTCGCAGCCATCTCCACGCGTTGAACGAGCGCGTCGATGCTTGCCCCATCTTGCAGGCCCGCCTCACACCTAGGCCAGACTTAGACCCCCAAGTCGACTTGCTGGTTGCAAGGGACAATGAGACAAAACCAAAATGGCAAAAGCTTAAACAAGGCAAACGAGGAGCAACATATGACTGGTGAAAGGAAACACCGAAAGGTACCAGCTTCTTTTCAGTGCCCTCGATTCCTTTTTTGGGTGCTATGATCCATTCAAAAACACGTCAAGTGCCCTTCGTTGGAGGACACTAAAAATATGCTGGTAAGCAAAGTCTAGCCATGACTCAAGCTGGATCCCAGATCCAGCTGCCGGCCCCCAGCAAGGAGCCTCAGGTACCCACGCCGGAAATGCCTTTGCGCTGCCGCCTTCAGCTCGCTGACGCGAGTCTCTGGCGCAAGTGTCACTGACCAGCTGCTGCCGCTCAGCAAGTGGATATCAACTTGCATCAGCAAAGAGCTTCAGATCAATGCGGACATGATTAGAGTTAGGCCCAGTTATATAATGTAAATGTTAGTGTTTGCTTCACTTTGAGTCACTGGTAAGATGTAAAATGTATCCTAAGTCCACCCCTGCGGAACCTACCAGATTCGCCATCATCTTGCTGATTGTCACGGCGACCTACAAGCTGCTGACCTGAAGGTTGTGACGCGTCATAGGACTACAAGAATCACACAATGCTTGCTGGAGATAATTACAGCCTCTCGGGCAAACATGATGGCATTCCAGCAGATCCTCGTCCTCTCTGTAGACTAGAACGTAAAATGACACGGAACTACTTCCCACTGCTTGCACTAGGCAAGAGATGCTGGTTTCATAGGTTCGAGGGGCTTGGGCCAAGACATGCGTGACAAACATTGCCAGCTTGCAATGGTTGCCCCAAAGAGAAATGTGTAGAAAGTAAACCTCATCAAATCAACACACTCCCTATGCTTCCAAAGCCTATTTAAAAAAATAGGCGTTGTGACAACCCCATTTTGTTTTACAAAGAATATTTTTGGACGACGAGCGGCCGCCTCCGTTTTGGACTGGAACAAGGGCTAAGCTAGGAAATACTTGACGTTAAGGCCGCTCCATAGGATCCCAAAGCCGAATATGTATATACATATGCAGCAATATGTTTTACTATTTGCAAGGCTAATGTTGGCTTCTATGTCGCTTGGTTTCTTAACAAGGCCATGTAGCGCGTGAAGGTGAACCCTCTTCTGACCATTCCTGTCCTTCTTTTGGCCCACCCCCTTAGCCAAACCAAAACAACAAGGGACAGCCAACACATCTCATGACAGCAACCATTCCAGGATGAGGATGTTGATCTTCTGGTCCCCCGGCAAAATTTGCCCGTTCTATGTGACAAATGGTGGTTCTACGCCAACCAAAAAATGGTTCTACGCCAAAAAATTGTGTTTCTACAGTTTTTTCTACGGTTTGTCTACGGTTTGTCTACGCTCACGTTATTTCTCGACCTGTGTGAAAATTGGAACGGGAAAAAGCAAGTTCTTCGTGCCACCTGCGCAAATTGCAGAGGACAATTCTACAATTTGCTAGAATGAAGGCTCTGTTTCCGCAAAACTTTCCGCAGGTGCGTTGCGCAGACACGAAAGGGGCCCGAGGACCCTATCAAGAAATAGTAATTTACTTAGTTGGCAGAGATATGTGGCTCCCAAGGCTACTTAAGAGGTTGCAGTAGCAGGCGCAGTTTTCAAAAAACAAAGAGAAGTAACAACGCAAAATGAACCCCAAAGGAAAATGTCAAAAAACTAGGGGTTGCCAATGCAAAAAATCGGGGTTGAACAACCCCTATTTAAAAAAATAGTCGAGGAAGCATAGGGCACTACTCGCGCCGCAGCGCGTCCCATGTTCCATCAGAAAAGACGTGCTGCTCACTTCGAAACAAGGCAGTACAAATGACACGAACAATGGTAGAAAGTAGCCTCACACTTGTTCAACATTCTTCAGCTGCGAAGTCAGTCTCTGGCAGTCAAGCCTGGGAAACGACGTGCATCGGCGATTTCGTGGCTGTGACCACTGGCAAGACTAAGACTCCGACAACCGAGTTGATTTCTGTCTCCAAATCCCGTGCGCCACACAAACAAACAGCGAAATGACAATGAGTCACAAAAACCAAACCATCCAAACTAAAAAATTAAGCGTCAAGGCACCAAACCAGCAAAACTAAGCAGTAAAACCAAGCAGGGAGACAACAAAGTTGACAAGTCCCCCCCAGCCGCATCAACTTGAAGTATCTACCGAGTGGCCAGAAAAGATGCGCAGCACTGCCGGTGAAGGTGGGAGATGTATCCGGTGGCCTCAGATCCCGCCACTCGCGGCAACTCCGGCAGCACGGCTTGCCGCCCCGCATGAGAACTGCTCGAAAGATCAAGTGACTCGGTGCAAACATGGAAAATAGCAAAACCTTTGCGCATTTACTAAATCGCTCAACGCAACCTGACAACTTCAGTAATTGCGTCATCAGCAAGTTGTGGAGCGTTCTGAGGCTTGAAAAGCACCGCTTGTGACACTCTAATCATCCCTCACGTACCAATCATGATCACCTTCACTCTCCACGCTTGGAAAACCACAATATTGCCATATATAATAGGTAAGGGAGGAACATATGAGCGTACAAGAGAAAATCTCGGGTCGGCCATAGGGGCTTGCCAGGGATCCGCTGGAAAGATCGCGAATCTAGCGGCTTGAAAGTTGTTCCTTGCGCCTGCCGCCTTCTTTGATGCCACAGGTACATTCTTGTCTGCGAGCAAAAGTTCCAGTTCCTAGTTTGTCTTGCGGTACCGAATTGTAGGGTGATGCATGTCCATCCCTGGTGCTGTTTGGGAAGATGGCCTCACTGCTAGATACGCTTCACACCAGTTGGATGGTTTACTCCAGTATTCACAGGGCTTCATTCATCCCAACTGGTGCAGGAGGACTTTATGTCCTGTTTTAGTTGCTTATCCTTTTGGGGCTCACACGCCATGCGAAACCAGCGCCGTTCATTCCTTACTGCCTGCATGGCTGGTTTACAAGTGACCAAGCAAGCGTAGCAAATGCTTGTCCAGCCGGCGAATGCTGATCTTACCTCTGGTTTCCTGGCACTTGCTCAAAAGCTGAGTGCGGAGTGTCCATCCTGCCAACTCCATGGAAAACGGTATCGACTCACTGGTACTTGCCACGTGCCCGATTGATTTCAACAAAGAAACCGCGGACAGCAATGGTTTGCTAGCTTCTTGTGCAGGAAACCATCACTTTGGAAAAGGGTTTGTCTCAAAAAGGGTACCCGAACTGGTGGTTTTCTTCCGGTTTTCCCTTCAAACCAACCCCCAACAAAGACGCCGCCCACGGCTGGGCGCTGCCAGCTCGCGCATGCCCGCGTCAACAAAGGGGAAGCCTTGGATCCGCGCGGCCAGTTGGGGGTTGAGCAAAGGCTCCTTTGGGATGACCACTGGGGGAAACCACACTTGGTTGACGTTGGAAGGGCAGCAAACATGTAAAATATTTAGCAGTTAAGTGGTGGGATTTCAACCACTAAACCACAATAAGCAAAAATGGGAAAACTGTTTCCCAACAACCACCATGAAAAAACTCAAGGACAATTCCCCACAAAATGGGAACAGCTACCCATGGGCATTTGGAGGCCAGGGATATTGCAACCCCCATGTGTCTGTGCGTGTGTGGGTGTTTTGGAAGCCTCATTTGGGATTGTTGAAAGGGAGATCAAAGGGAAACCACCCATTTGTTGGGTGCCCTATTTGACTGGAGCACCCTGGAAGACCGATTTTCCTTTCAAAGCAACCCTCAATTACGCGTCATGTGGACATGAAGGAAATCCGACAATCCTCATTTAAGCCCTTTGAAAGAATATGGAACTTGAATTTACAGCGCCTTTGGGGGTAAACCTCCCTTACCTTAAGGGGAAGGGAGCGAGGGGGTTAATAAAAGTCCAATGTCCCTCCGCCTCGAATTCACGTAACCTTCACAGTGTGTGGGCGCGGTATGTTTGTGTGATATCTGATATGTATACATATATATATATATCCTGTGCTATGCCGGCAAGAGTTGTTTGTTGTGCTGTGCATTGTGGTGCGTGCTTTTTGTGTGCGCGCGCGCGTGTGTGTGTGTGGTCTGGACTCGGCCAGAGCCGGCTCTCTCTCTGAAAAACTTGTCTTCCCAAAGAGTACAACTGACTCGTGTTCTCACAACACTCAATGCTTGATGACCATAGCTCCTGCGCCCCGTGTTCTGGTGCGGCTTGTGTTGTTTTGCCGTGACGCGTGATGTGGTGCATGTTGTGGTGTGCGATGTGCTGTGCTGTTGTGGGTGGTGTTGCGTTATGTTGTGCTGTGTTGTGTTGCGTGTTTCGTGTGGTGTGTGTGTGTGTGTCTTCCCCAAACTTCCAAAATCACCCCAACGCCATAGACCATCTAAAGTCCGGTCAGTTTGGGTCATTGAAAGTTGGCTTTTCAAGCGGTGGCTGAACTTCCTTGTCGTGCATACATGTCATGGACTTCCGGCTCCACAGAGGATATGGTTGATATAGCCCCCACTACAACCCCCAGGTATGAAAAAGGGACCTAACAGGGCAAAAGGATCCAACCGTTTTTGACTGGGAACTCAAAAGTGCTCATCAAGTGTGCCAACACCTCACTTAAACAGGTTCACACAACTATTTAAACATCCTCCTGGCTTCGGTCATGGTCTGGTTCTTTCAGGGTGTTTCCAGTAGGCAGCCCTGCTGGTTGGGTTGAAAAGCAAACCAAAAGGGAACCAACAAAACAAGTGGTGCCCGCTTTTGCAAGCACCCGTTTTTCACCCCCCCCTTTGCCGGTTGTATCAGCCAAATGGGTCTTCCACAAACAAAAGGTGGACCCGGAAAGTGGACACCTTTCCACCTTTGGCGCCCCTTGAAACCAACCCGAAACGGGTAACGGCACGCTCCGCTCCAAGCGCCCTCGCCTGTCTGTCCCTGGCGCCACTTCTCGAAGAGCTCCTTGTCCCTTCGCCACGTCAGGCCTTTCACGTCGAAGGGTCCTGGCGCTTGAAACCGAAGATGGGATCCGATCCAACCAAGGCTTTGGACCGATATGTATATATATATATGTATATATATATATGTGTATATATATATATATGGGTTTGAATCTTAAATCGGGACCCTTTGGTGGACACCATTTAGGTGGGGATCCATGTCCACCAACCACTTTGGAGGGGAATCCCTAGTAAAATTGATAGCCATATCAATCCTCCCACCCAAAATGGCCCTGTCCTTTTTGCGGCGCACACAGTTTGAGGGGTGCTTGAAGGGAAACTTGCGACCCATTTGGGGTTGCACCTGCAAAAAGCGGTGTATTGAGTGCTTAAGGGCGACGAAACGCAAACCAATTGGACATAAGGGATTATCTGCAACAACCAATGTGAGCTTCCTTCATATCATGGCCCAATTGCCATGACAACGGAGCAAGTCACACGCAAGCTCGCAAACAGCTATAAGCTGACCCAAAAGATGGGAGAACCCAAGCAGGTCTCCCCCGGCGAGCCAGAGTGCTGCGCACCAGTGCTCTGCTCAGCTCCGCAGCCGAATTAGGTCCGTTGCCGTTTCGCTGGCCTCTTCAGAACTGGTTCCTCGGTATGCCCCAGGAACTTCTCCACGTCTTCAAAGGTATCATTGGCCTTCTTCGTGATGACCCAGGCCTTTGATTCCCCGTTGAACTTGGCGCCCAGCTTCTTCAAGTCCTCAGTTGTTCAGTGACCCAACCCTTTTTGGGGAAGACCATTTTTAGTGGGGCAGCCACCAAAAAAAAGGAAAAAGGCGCCACTGAACAACTGAGAGTCCTCTTTGAATTGGAAGGTTGGGCCTGTGAGCGTCATCGTGTTGCCTTCAACTTTGGCGATGATCTTTTTCAAGGCACTCGAAGCTGCCCCCTGGGGACTCTCAACAGTCTTTCCTTCCAGTAAAGACTTGATCAGCTGTCTATCTTTGCTTCGAAGGTGATGGAAGTTCTTGATGTCCTCCGTAGATTCAATCTTCTTGTTGGCATTTTTAGAGAATGAGAAGGTCTTCCACAAGCAAGGCGGATGGTACCAACCCAATTGGCTTCCTCGATGATCATCCTCTGGAGCTTCGATTCCAATGCGAAGCTCTCCATCTGCAATGGCCTTCTTGCATCGGAACTCTTTGCATGTGGACCGCCCTGTTTTGGCATAGTCCACCACATACCACGCACCCTGGCTCCAAGCCCAAGACAATGACATGGTCTCGATGGCTTTTGGCTCAGTGTCCGTATGGGTGTTTCTTTTTTCATGGCTTTAAAAGGAAACCAACAGAAAAACCAGAATTTGAAATCTTGAGGCCCCCGAGAACAAAAAACACACACTATTGACTCGTTGCTCAATTAAATCCTGTATAACTTGGGAAGGCTTGGACAGAAGTGGCGGAAAGCGAGACAAACAGATAGGGCCTTGGTATCCGACAAACCTTCCTCGAAGAGAGTCTCAGCTGGGCCCGACACTACTCGGAGCGCTTCTCGTGCAAACGATGCCTAATAGAAGCAAGAATAGGTAAACATATTGTAAATGATCACAAATTATAACAATAAATGGTGATCATAGTTGCTCAATCAAACAGAAAGTGGCCCTATAGAACAACACCCAACTGTTGGTTCTGCCCTGGCCAGCTCCTTGCCCCAGCATGTGAGGTCATTGGCCGACCGCTTCAGGAACTCTGCACGTTCATTTCACCCAACCCCCCCCCCTCCCGCCCCCACCAACTGCTCATAGCTGTCAAAAACATAAAACACCGCAGCAAGGAAACTGGCCGCCGAACGCTCCTCCCAACAGTGGGGTTGGCTCAAAATAGAAAACTCCTCACCAAAGGCGGTCATAGACTAGAATGCCTCAATCATCCAACCTTGCGGAGGGGCCCTTGTTCCGGAGATGTGTGTCGCTCATTTCTTTGAGACCCCGTTCCGCGAGCGAACATAGGTGACCTTGTGGACAAATAGACGGGCAAATGGGGCAAACCTATCAAAACCAGTCGAACCCATCTAACTAAACTGACCTGAAAAGGACACCTGCAGCCTGCTGATGGACGAAATCCGCTCGCCCCACGAAGATAAACCCTGGTTGAAGCCCTTAAGTTTTCAATTTACGTTGGGAACTCGAACCAGAATCCCGGGTTTCTTCATGTGGTGCGAACTGGATTTCGTCATCACCCTGAGACATCCGCAAAAAAAAAACCTTCTTCATGTGGCGCGAACTGCAAATCGCGTCCTCACGCCGAGACATCCGCGCGAGAAAAAAGCAAAAAACCTCGGCGCTTCTCTTGTGCTGCGAACTGGATTTCAAATCCTCACCGAGAACTCCGCGCGAAACAAAGAAAAACAAGAAGAAACAACACAACAACAGCAACAGCAACAACAACAACAACAACAACAACAACAACAACAACAACAACAACAACAACAACAACAACAACAACAACAACAACAACATTATGATTTTTTTAGCCAGCCAGAGACTGGAAATCTTGAAATATTTACTTTTTCAAAAAATCATCGATTTGGTTATCCTCAAACCTATCCAAAAATCATCCTACAATCATCCTCTGCAAAAAACATCATTGAAAAATCATCCTCTCCCTCCTCCTTCATCCCTCCTCCACATCGCTTCTATTCTCTGCGTTTCCATTTTCCTTTCCTTCCCGTTCCTTCCCGTTCCTTCCCGTTCCTTACCCTTTTCCATTTCCCTCTTCTTGTTTCCATGTTCCATCTCCTTTCTTTTTTTTTCTTCCTTGTCCTCTCCAATTCTCTTTGCCCTGCCCTGTTCCTTCTTTCCCTTTTCACTCTTCCTCTTCCTGAGACTGACAGGAAAAGCAAAAAGTTGCAAAACCCTCCTGTTTTTTTCAAAAAATCATCGAACAATCATCGAACAATCTTCGAAAAATCATCCCCAACCCACATTTTCTGGACCAAACCCCCTTCACAGTGGTCAGGAAAGCAAAAAGTTGCAAAACCCTCCTGATTTTTTCAAAAAATCATCGAAAAATCTTCGAAAAATCATCGAACAAATCATCCCCAACCCACATTTTCTGGACCAACCCCCCTTCACAGTGGTCAGGAAAGCAAAAAGTTGCAAAACCCTCCTGATTTTTTCAAAAAATCATCGAAAAATCATCGAAAAATCATCCCCAACCCACATTTTCTGGACCAACCCCCCTTCACAGTGGTCAGGAAAGCAAAAAGTTGCAAAACCCTCCTGTTTTTTTCAAAAAATCATCGAAAAATCTTCGAAAAATCATCGAAAAATCATCCCCAACCCACATTTTCTGGACCAACCCCCCTTCACAGTGGTCAGGAAAGCAAAAAGTTGCAAAACCCTCCTGTTTTTTTCAAAAAATCATCGAAAAATCATCGAACAATCTTCGAAAAATCATCGAAAAATCTTCGAAAAATCTTCGAAAAATCATCCTGACCGGAATCCATCTTCAAAAAATCATCCAACAAATTACCCTGCCTGACATCAACCTTCCAAAAATCATCCTCCCTATTTTCCCCCCCTGTTCTCCAGCCTGGAACACGATTTGAAACGAGCTTCAACACAGCCACCGTCAGACATTTCTTGCGCAAAATGGCTCCAACTAAATTGTTTCATGGCTGAAGCTGAAGGAAACCCACCAAAGCAACCCAAGCAAAGCCAAGCCCAGCAAATCAAAGCAAAGCAAAGCAAGCGAGCGAAGCAAAGCAAAGCAAAGCAAAGCAAAACAAAACAAGTGAGCGAGCGAGCAGGCAGGCAGGCAGGCTTGAGGATAATGAAA